TTCACACTTGTAAGGTTTTTCTCCTGTGTGTGTTCGTTTGTGACGCTGTAGATGGCTACTTTGTGTAAACCTGGCCTCACAAACTTCACACTTGTAAGGTTTTTCTCCTGTGTGTGTTCTTCTGTGACTCTGTAGATTGCTTCTCTTTGTAAACGTGGCACCACAAACTTTACACTCGTAAGGTTTTTCTCCTGTGTGTGTTCTTTTGTGATGCTGTAGACTGCTACCCTGTGTAAACGTAGCACCACAAATTTCACACTTGTAAGGTTTTTCTCCTGTGTGTGTTCTTTTGTGTGTCTGTAGATTTCTGCCACATGTAAATGTAGCACAACAAACTTCACACTTGAAAAGCCTATCTCTTGTGTGTGTTCTTTTGTGTTTCTGTAGATTACCTAGTTCTGTAAACATCTCAAGACAGACATTACACTTGTGAGGTTGTTCTCCTGAGTATCTACTTTCCTTGACCAGAAACCTTGGCAAATCTTGGCAACCAGCGCCCATCTCTTTGCACACTTTTGGGGGTGTGGTACTAGAAAATTCCATAGAATTTATACAACTGGCAAAAGACACAGCACAAGAAAGGTTGAAATCGGAACCTTGACCCATGGACTGTTTACTATCACAAGACATACGACTTTTGCTGCAGGACTCATGCTTTGAACTTCTGTTAAGACGTTTTCCTGGGAAAAAAAATAATTGGACAAGTTATCCCTGACAGTACGATGAAACATCTGGAAGAAGACAAATAACGGACAAGTTATCTAAACCTGACTATAAGATTTTAATAAAACATCTGGAAGAAGACAAAAATGATGTGAAGGTGTTACCTAACGCTAATGGTTGGATGACAAAACTGGAAGAAGTAAAACATACACGAAGTTATTTACCTAAATTTATCTAACATAATGATAATCACAGAAAACGAATGATCAAGATGAGATGTGGCTGCTATCCTACACACTTAAAACACACGCCTAAAATTTACTATGACTGTCTACACATTCATCTCACTTGACTTGTGCTTTTAGTCCCTTTTCTCAAACATCATGTCACTTTTTCACATTTCAAGCGAAGGAACACACAACAATCACAGGAACACTTGGTTATTTTCTGTAATCATAAACGATGGAGAACTGTGATTTCTTTCGACCGACCCAAAAGGAATGACAAAAAAGTGGTCAGCGTTTCTGTGTTGTACAAATTTTAAAAGACATGATAACACACAAGTAGCAAAAATGCATTTGAAACTTGTTTTATCCTAAATTTTACATCTTAGCTCTCCATGCCAAGCTGAAACTACCAATAGTTGTACCTTATCACCGTAAAATAACCGGCAGCAGCAAAACAATTTGCTTCTTTCCCATCCACAAATATAAACCATAAAATATCTGGCGGCAAAATATCTGATGATCTAATGGCAAAGCTTTTATAATAGTAGGCCCTATTGTCAGGACTCACAACAAAGCTAAGATCTTGTTTTTGTTTGTCCGAGTACAAAATAGCACATCGACACAAAAATATTATAGTGGTCATTTAGTGCTCAAGAAATGCAAAACACATGGCTGCGGTTATTCGTACAATAGTCCGAACAACTGTAGTTAGTTGTCCGTACAATAGTGCGAACAACTGTATTTAGTTATATCCGTATAATTGAGCTGTGCGAATAACTATAACTAGTTATCCATACAATTATTCGAATTGCTTGTTTGGCCTGTTGGTGAGCTTACATTTGCCTAGATCTAGTGATCTAGGCCTAGAGGTAGGTTCTAGGTTCTAGTGATGGGCAAGGACGTACATTTTCAAGACGGAGCGATTATTCTCCCCTGGGGTGAAGAACTGGACAAGCGGGTTAACCATTTATTGAAAACTGGGTCTGACTTGGATTTGACTTAGACTTAGATTTGAGCCCCCCCCCCCATGTCTGCCAAATAATCTAAGTTGGGTCCAGATGTTGCCGAGAGACTTGGATTTGGTTGAGCCAGCCTCCTCCTCGTCTTGCGACACTGCGCTTCCACCTCGCCACTTCTCGCGTTATCCTCTCCCAACTGCACTTCGTCCACGAGAGAAAGCGGGTTGAGTTCTATCCGGATTACAATCCCGTAAACTTAAGTAAAGTAAGTCACAGGCAGAAACTGGATACCCAACTTATAATCTGGGTTTCCGCTCAGCACTTCAGGTTCGCCCCCCCCCCCTTCCCAGGTTGAACATCAGTTATTCTATTTCAAAGAGAAAACATCAGGGCTTGAAATAAACCGCGGCACAACGGCAATTTTGCCTTGGTGCCTTTGCAATTTGACGTAAAAAGGGTCAATCCCGGCAATTTTTGCAGTGCCCTTGTTTTTTTGTTTAAAAAAAAGTGACGTCATGAAAATAAATCAAAATATTTGTCCTGTGCTGTCACTTGTGAAAAAAAATTAAAAAGGAAAGAAAGTTATAACAAGCGTCTTGTCGGGTTCGTTCGCCACCGTGTCCTGTCAGGGAACCTGCTTGCATCACAACTTTTAATCACAAGATAGATAGGCCCTATATGGCATCATGTGAGCACCGGCTGCTGTTGGGGTCACAAAAGTTCATGCAAAGTCTGAAAGCCGTGAAGTATGGCACTCTAGAATGGGGGGGAATTATTTGATTTTTTATTTTTTGTTTTTGAAATACACTCATGGGAGAGATGGGGGGGGGGGGGGGGGGGAGGTTAATGAAGACATCCTGTCTGACTCTGAGCTGCCTGAAATCTCATCAAAAACTTCAGTCAGACACTGCTCAGCTTGATCGAGTCAGTTTGACGCCCACCGGTCCGGTGTGCCCAATGCCCTGCCCATGGCCATTGAGCATGCAACCCCACTCAAAATAAAAATATTGCTTTTCCTGTTTTGTCAAAACCCATTGTTTCGTGCAAATAGGCCTCGGCCTAGGCCTAGGTTGTGGGAGTTTAGTATTGTATGGATAACTAGTGGCAGTTATTCGTACTAACAATATTGTACAGATAACCAGATCAAGTTTTTCGCACAATAGTACGAATAACCGCTCCGCAACACACAGTATCGAAAAGTTCAAACACAGAAGGATTCTATACGTACTAGAACTTTCACTGTGATCCCAGATGGCCCTGACAACAGATCCTGAACTGGTGACTGGATCAGCAGAGAAAGTTGAAGTTGGACTACTGGAAGCAAAAACATCAGTGTCGGGGCTAGTGCTCTGCTCCATACACAAGCTCCTCACATTGGAGATTTGCAGCTGTAGTCCTCCAGCCTGACTCATGTGATCCTCAACAAACACGGGCTCAGCACACGTATCCTCCACATCTTCCACTTGTCCTTCTGTCTTTCCTACCTCTCCAAAGTCTGGACCTTCCCATTCTGACACTTCTTCTTTCACAAAATTCTCCACTTTTGGTTTCACTTCATCATGAAAGTCAGAAAAATGTCCAAATAGTGGTTCGGTTTCCACCATACAGATATCTGTGAGGCACTCTGGTTTAATGACAGGTTTCATGTCTTCCTCTTCTGTACAGATAGGCTCAACTTTTACTACACTGTGTCTGAGAGTCAGGCTACTTTCACTTTCAACGTTCAGTTTGTCATTTGTCTTGGCCTTGACGTCACATGACCATTCAAAACTGGGCTCTTTTTTTATTGACAGTTGTTCCTCATCAACACCCATGCTAGATTCACTTTCCCTACCTAGATCTATGTCATGTTTTACAACTTCCCTTTTAAAACTGTTAGTACAAAGACAAAGAGTACCGGTACTAGATCTAGATCTTGTCCCAGAACTAGGTTCACCTTTAACAACTATGCTATCAATCCCAAGATTCACACCTTCTCCAGAAGAACAAGGAACAAATAAATCACAAGTTTTCAAGCATCCACAGCCCGCCTTATCATTTCCAGAGTTAAGTCTATACATTGTTTTTATTGTGTCTTCCTCACAGTTAGCGTCCATTTGTTTAAATGTAACTAGATCTAGATCTAGATTTTAGATCTAGATTTCTAGATCAAGAATCTAGATCTAGGTCTAGATCTAGATCTAGTCTAGAATCTAGATCTAGATCTAGGTTCTAGACTAGATCTAGAACTAGAATCTAGATTCTAGACTGTCTAACTCTAGATCTAGATCTAGATCTAAATCTAGATCTAGATAAATCCAGTGTAGGAAATGTCAGCCATCTATAATCTAGATCTAGATCGAAAACTATTCTACTACTACACTTACACAGTCACACTGTTCACTGTCAATGATGACACTAACCTAACATATACACACAATTGCTTCGATAAACGAATAAACATTGCCATGAAGAGGAAAAGTCAAACTGACTTCATTACCAAAGTTTGATTCTGCACAATACATTGAAGCATAGAGACAGAGATTCTATTATTAATTATTATTATTGCGTCCATTTTATTTTGGCCGTTTTATTTTTGTATGATCAAACGAGTATAAAGAACATTAAAACAGTTTCAGCAGTATAAGAATAGTATGTAGGCCTACCAGCTTTTGCAGTTGTATTCGGTTAAATTATTATATTATTGTTATTATTATTATTATTATTATTATTATTATTATTATTAATTTTACTATTATCATTATTATTATTATTATTATTATTATTAATATTATTATTAATATTAGTATTACTACTAGATCTAGATATTTCATCGATAAGCATTATCATTATTATTATAATTATTATAATTGTTATACTTTGGGGGGGGGGGGGGCTACACCTGAAGGCTATCTCGCTTATTAGCGCACCAAATTTTACCAAATTTCACACACATTATTATAACAAGCATCTTGGATTATTAAAATTCGCAATCAAATTTGATTTTTTAAAGTTTCGTTTCCATGGATACGGCTGCCATATTGGATTTTGTTGACATGTCCCACGAAAATGTAATGAATACAGCACTTATTGCTCAAGGAAATTTGTATAATTGATTCTTTTTTTTTGCATGCATCTTAAAAAACATCAGATCTAAAAATGTGTTTGTTGTTTTCTTTCCTAAACGAATTAGAAACATTTTAATGAATTTTTTCCTGAGGTAGCATTCAAGTTTGAAAAAAAATCTGTGAAAATACTGAAAATCCACACTCCAGACACCACCAACAAAAATCTATTCCATATAAAAAAAATTCAACAGACTTATTTTTAGTATTACATCTTCTCTTCATTTTGTGAAAATTTCGTGAAGATTGTATGAAAAATGGTGGAGTTATAATATCAAAAAAGTGTAGAGGAAGTCGCGTTTTGAGAAAACGGCCTATAAAGAAAAAAAAAGACTTTGTGAGGAAATGGTGGTGACAAACATGCCTGATAGGGTAAAAAGTACGATTTTTGGGGGTTCTTATGCGATGAAATAGTTGTTGTAGGAGAGGCTGAAGAAGCTGATTAACCATTAGGCAGGTGCTAGTCGTCCCGCTTTTGCAACGTTGCACCGTTCTCATTTTATTAGAAGGGTCTACATTGTACAGTTTTGTCTCAAGAGGCATTGTTATTATTATTTTCCAACATCTTTTGGCGCCTGAGTTGTAAAGGTTAAAGTTTTCACAACGCTAATATTGCTTTCCTCCGTGAAAATGCACACAAAGGTAGGTTGACATTTGCGAACCTCAAGTTTCGTTTAGTTGACACTTGCGAACCTTTATTTCTTCAAAGAACGCCGCTTATTGACACCTCTGCGAACCCAGAGAAAGGAAACACTTTTGTAGTGCCATCTCAATGAGATGAGTAGGTTGATCGAGTGAGATAATCGACATCCTAGGTACAGTAGTCTCCGCCTAAGATCCCATCGCTTACGATCCCGGTTTGCTTTTAAATTAAGACCCGCTGTTTTAAGAAAAGATAATTTTTACTATACAAAAGTCACCCTTAAGATCCGCTCTGATTCACTCTTACTCTGAAGGTCTACATTCGGCTAAGATCCTGCATTTCAGATCATTATTTGTTGTAAAACTGGATGAAGCGATACAACGTTTGCCCCCGACGGGATCACACCGGGATGTGAAGTGACCGACGGGTTTGTTTTCCCCACGCATCGCACTCACACCTGAGCTCTCCCCCTATCCCCCTAAACTTACATCACTCGCTGGGTGGGTAGGGCCTACACGTTCGTTCCAGGCGGAATCACATCGAACCGTGAACTCTTCCCTGACCATTGCAGTAGGCGTTGATTGCAGCAGTTGTCTCTACGCCCCAATTCGCTAGACAGACTGATTATCACGACGTAATGGTGTATAACGACAAAGGCGTTTGGGGAGGGGGGGGGGGGGGGGG